TTCAGCAGGTTTGTTTTGAATTTGCAAATCCTTACATACTGAGATCAAAACTATCATGACGACCTGTGCTGGCATAAATTTTCTGGCTTGCCCAACAGTCAATGCTTATAAACCCAAACAAAACCCAGGATCAGTAACAGAAAACCAAAAACAGTGAAACGAATGCTGGGAGACGGCTGTGATCTGACTTCTGAAGGTAATTCTTAATCCATGCATTGGTTTTTACCGATTCATATTTACAAGTGCAAGGGCTAGAAATAGAGGCTTTATAAACTTACACACACGTATTGTATATTATAATATGCAATTTTAGGGTGACAATATATATATTTAACATACATATAATGAAATATCCTGAGCAAGAGGTGGGTATTGCACTGATTTGTGCAACTCTAGACATACACTGCTAAATCAATTGCCACTAAAAATACTACCACAGACCCTCTACAAACCCTTACCAAGTAATAGACGCTGGGAATAACGCTACTCTCCTTCACTGCAGGGTATGTATGTGAGTTGCTCTTTAAGAGTAATTACTGTTGCACCATTGGAAAACATAGGGAGCAAGGGGTAGAGGACCTCTTCTCTACTCTGCTGCTTAGCAGAGAAGGACGAGAGATGGGAAAGCTTCCTTTAGGAAAACCAGCCATTAAATCACAGCAGCTTCCCAGCAGCTTCCCAAACTAGACAACTTCTAGAAAATTTGATACCCCACCATTACGGTTTTCTCTTGGGAGAGATGGTAACCATGCTTTTGGTGCTGAGTCCTTTATCCTCTGCCATGAGCTTTAGCTCATCCTCTGTGCAATGTTTTTCCAGATCTTTCCTCTGTACCATTAAAAGGGCTGGCATAAACAGTGGCCTTTTTGGAACAAAACAGACTGCAAAAAACAGACTCTGGTTCAAATATGGTTGATCAAGGAATAATTTTTTCCTGTAAAGACATTCAGGGTAAAAAACTGCTCTACCTCAGTCAAATATTTTTGCACATTTTATAGAAAACTTTTAATAAAAAGTTTTAACTGAAACCAATGTTTTCCATTTTGTCTAGAGCAGGGAAATCTGAGTTATAATTTTTCTTTAGTATGTGAAGAAACACAGAACAAACAATGAAAAGACAGATAATGTTAAAAACAAGAGAGTAAACCAGCCATTCATTGCACCCATAGAATTTTATCTTCAGTTAAAAAAGCGAGAAAGGAGAGATAGTAATTGACCAGATGTAACTACTGCAGTCTGTTTCCTGCTTTGCTCTGAAGACAGTGCATTTCTTTTCCAGCCTACATTGTAGACTTATCAACCACCCGTAAAAGACAGTTGATGCTCTCTTTGACTTCTGTATAAATCATATCCCAGCACAAATCTCCCAGTATCCTGGCTGCAATACCTTGCTCCCCTCATGATCGCTCAGCTGAGCATGAGACTGAAAACTTGCCAATCTATTTTTGAGAACAATAAGATTGGAAAGTTACCTTGCCGAATGATGAAAACAGCAACTGACAGTTTTGCCATGCTGAGCACAGACATTTTCTGTCCCCTGTAATGTAGCCGAAATTTATGGCTGACCAAGGCGAAAGTTAACAATCAACCTCTCAGCTCACTTGTAACTTAACTCTTATGAAATATTTGTTCTGAATAACAGATTTGCAATTATAATAGCTCAGTTATATGATAGACTTGTGAGGTTTTGTATTTGGAAACCTGAGACATTCCCATTATCACAATGAGGCAGTTTTTTCTAATGCACAAAACAAATCACTGTCAGTCATGATTTACCATTGTTTTACTTCTGTGACAAAGAACTAATGTTTATCAGCTTTCAGAACAATGGATGGAAAGTCTACTCTTATACATTTTAGATACGATTAAATAATTAGCCAAGATTAAATGACACAAGCAGAAGTAATTAGCAGGGAGTAAGATTCTACATTCTTCAATTTTCAATTTCATTACATTTGAGTCCAAGAGCAGAGATACGCTGTTGATTGGACGCAAGACATAATTCTCGAGAAAACATCTCCTTAAAGGAAAAGATCATTTGTTTTATATTCCTGTAACCGATGTGTGTCTTATCTGAGATCTGCATGGTTTTGTACAACTTGGCTAGTTTCTTCAGCATTACTCCTGTTCAACAGAAATCATACACCATCAAGGAAAACATAAGAAAAGTGTGTTTATGAACACACCTGGTCTGAAGAGTAGCTTAGGATTTCTCAAACATTAGTTTGTTTCCAATCCACATAAAATAGGATCTCAGTAACTTCAAAACCTACCTATATGTAATCAGATTAACTCTAGTAATTCATCAGCGGGACCTGGACAGACTGGAGAGTTGGGCGGAGAGGAACCTGATGAAGTTAAAACAAGGGCAAGTGTCGAGTGCTGCACCTGGGGAGGTCAAACCCCATGCACCAGTACAGGCTGGGGGCTGACCTGCTGGAAAGCAGCTCTGCCGAGAAGGACCTGGGAGTCCTGGTGGACGACAAGCTGACCATGAGCCAGCAATGTGCCCTTGTTGCCAAGAAGGCCAATGGTGTCCTGGGGTGCATTAAGAGGAGTGTGGTCAGCAGGTCAAGGGAGGTTATTGTCCCCCTCTACTCTGCCCTGGTGAGACCCCACCTGGAGTACTGCATCCACTTCTGGGCTCCCCAGTTCAAGAAAGATGAGGAACTC